AGCAAGAGAGTGTGATTGTGTTGACATTTTTGTAGGTGTTTTTTTTTTTTTTGATGGTTTGTTTGGTACAAGGGATTGAACCCAGGGGCGCTTAACCCCTGCACCATATCCCTAACGCTTTTTTAATATTTTATTTTGCGACAGAGTTTTTCTCAGTTGCTTAGGGCCTTGCTAAGTTCTTGAGGCTGGCTTGGAACTCATAATCCTCCTGCCTCAGTCTCCCAAGCCACTGGGATTAAAGGCACACACCCAGCTGGGAATGACAGTTTAATAGGCACAAGGATTCCATTTGGGGTGGCAAGAATGTTCTTGACTAGATGATGGTGATGGTTTTATAATTCAATGATGCCATTGAATTGTAAACATTAAAATGGACAGATAGTAGGATATATAAAGAACTCAAAAAAAAACCTAACACCAAAAGAAAAAAAAAACAATCAATAAATGGGCTAAGGAGCTGAAAAGATACTTCTCAGAAGAAGAAATAGAATTGATCAACAAATATATGAAAAACTATCCAACATCTCTGGCTGTTAGAGAAATGCAAATCAAAATGACTCTTAAGATTTCATCTCACTCCTGTCATGAGAGGATGGCCTTAGACCTGAGCCTAAGCAACTCATTTTAAAAACTCCAGTTTGAAACCTGCAGTCACACCAGGCAACACCCACAGAGCCCTCCAGTATGGCCTCAGACAAGTTACTTCCCCTCACCCTGATAAACAGGGTGAAGCCCCTGGCAGGCTGAAGATCAGGGTGGAGACCAGACCAGGTGTTTCTGACCCCAGGGTAAATGATGTCATGAAGAAATCCAGTGATAGCTGATAAGGATTAAAAGGGGGATTTAAAGCCCCCAAAATTTAGTATAAATAATTAAGCAAATGAATAGGGATTCAGCCAGCCAAAACAAGAATACACTTGAGCCAGAGAGCCTGATGAAGGCCTGACATCCTATCACTTGTCATCATTTCCTGAGCCTCTGGGTGATCCTCATTGCTCTCAAACTCTACCGCCTCGTCTGGACCTTGTTGAGAGCTGCAACTTCTCCCTACGACCCTCTCCTCAACAGGTTGTCCACTCCACATCAGGAAAAGCCTGCCTTGGTTCCAGATCTGATCACTGTGGTCTGAGTGAGTGCACATGTGTTGAACATAAGGCCTAAGGCTTAAGACTTTTGAACTTAGCATGCAGAGGGAATGTCTGTCATTAGCCTGTCATGATTAAGTGTGTTTTGCAGTGTTTAGAATTAATCTAGAATTATTTGCTGTGAATTAATTAATCTAGAATTGTTTGCTATGAATTGATTATGTCTATTGCAGTGCCTAGCATTAAGGATTGTTGTTTTCTTGATTAAGAGCTACAGAGTGAAACTGTATTGAGTAATTTGAGTGAGTAAAGCATTGAAAGGGGCAAAAGCATGTAGACATTCTTTATTTCTCCCCTCGACTGCATATGTTGCAATTTTGCCCCCTCATGACAAGTCAGAATGGCAGTTATCAATAATACAAGCAACAATAAGTGTTGGTGAGGCTGTGGGGAAAAGGGCACACTCATACATTGCTGATGGGACTGCAAATTGGTACAACCAATCTGGAAAGCAGTTTGGAAATTCCTTAGAAAACTTGTAATGGAACCACCATTTGACCTAGCTATCCCACTCCTCAGTCTATATCCTAAAGACTTAAAAACAGCATCTACAGTGCCACAGCCACTTCAGTGTTTACAGCAACACAATTCACAATTGCTCAACTGTGAAAGCAACCTAGATACCCTTCAATAGATGAATGGATAAAGAAACTGGTACATATACACAATGGAATATTACTCAGCATTAAAAGAGAATAAAATTTGCAGGTAAATGGATAGAGTTGGAGACTATCATGCTAAGTGAATTAAGCCAATCCCAAAAGACCAAAGGCCGAATTTTCTCTCTGATAAGTGGATGCTGACCCAAAAAGGGGGATTGGGGGGCATGGGGAGAATGGAGGAACATTTGGGCAAAGGGGGGTGGAAGAAAGGCAAGAGGACATGGGGGTAAGGAAAGATGGTAGAATGAGATGAATATCATTACCCAAGGTACAATATGGCGGCACATGTGGTGCGACTCTACATCATGTACAACCAGAAAAAAAGAAAAGTTGTGCTCCATTTGTGTACAGTGAATCGAAATGCATTCTGCTCTCATGTGTAACTAATTAGAACAAATTTTTAAAAATGGACAGATAGTGAAGTCTACATGTGCTTTTTACATTAATAAATCTAAGACCTGAAGGTGAGGAATCCTCAGGCATGAGGGGGTCTCTGAAGATCCCACCTCAGTCCCAAAGAGTGGAACTGCGGATGACGGCACTGAGAACCACTGTGGTGCTGGGGGCCTCCTGTCCTCTGGTGTAAGCCACTTTGGAGTTTGTTTTGAGCTCTGGCCCCCAACCCTCCTGGTGAGTCACATTTTGCCCAATGACTCTGTCTCCCCATTGTCTGGCACCAGGAGGGAGAGCTGTCCATAGAGGTGGATGACCCCCACATACACTCTGTGTGGTACAGGCAGGCATAATGGAGAACCTGAGGGACACCCCGGAGGCTGATTTCTGAGTGGCCACTCCTACCCCTACCAAAACCCCTCCTTCACCAGCACCCACTGGACTTTCACCTTCACACAACAGGCCCTCATGTTCAAAACATGAGCCCCACTTTCCAGGCACAGTGTGACATGGCCACCTACACTCTGGGTCCTGGGAATGTCCCTGCACCTCTCGAATCCTCAGTCTGCTCTCTGAACATGGGGTGCCTAGATGGTCAATTCTCAGGATTGTTGAGGACTTAGTGTGATTTCCATGGAAAGTGCTTACCAGGTCTTGACCCCATGGGAAGATCTGCTGGAGGGGCTGTGCCTGTTCCCCTTATTGTCCTCCCCCATCAGGGAACCTTTTCCCTTACCCCTCACTCACCCCCTTATTGGGTTAAGCTGCTTTCTTCATTGTAAAGGACGTTCAAGGTTCACTCTATGAGCTTCTCAGTGTACCCCAAACTGGATTCCCTGGGGGCTGGCAGAGGGATTCAGGACCACTCAAGACATCTCAGAAGTAGGTGATGGCATCCCAACCTTTAAAGAATACACGTAAAGCCACACTATGTGCAGACACTTTTGGAGGCACTGACCATGATCCAATGAAGAGAGCAGGGAGTGACCCTGCCCTCTTAGACTACTCCAGGTCACACAGTCACACCAAATATCAGGGTAAAGTTTAGACATTAGAGCAGCTGCGATGTCCTCCTCTGGATAGTCATGCACATCAGTGGGACAAACTGACCCAGATGAGGTAAAGAGAGAACTGGACGGCATGTTGGTATAAGCTCTTTAGCTTAGGGAAGGCTGGCAAGATGGACTCCCATCCTTCCTTCCTCTATTAGATCTTACTGGAGCACCAGCCCTGTGACAGTGAGTGCAATGCACGCAGTGGACACCACCTCACTCTCATCATGGAGTTGACAAGCCACTGGGGAGGGAGCAGAGAGAAAGTGTATCAATGCTCCCTGAAAAAGAGTCAGATGGTCAGTGTTGATCAAAGACTCTCCCATTGGGATTTCTGCCCATTCTTGGTTACCAGAGCTGTCTGTGGACCAGGAGTGTCATACTGGGGTGGACACAGGGTGGGACTGGCCTCTAAAAGGCTCGGGCCAGAGGCCCAGAATTGCAGCCATGCAGGGCTGCCTGGCAGGGCAGTGTGGAGGAAAGGCCGGGCCTCTCATGCTGCTGCCACCCACGTTCCCCTAGGCTCATGTCCATACAACAGGACATCAGCCAAAAAAGTGTCCAAGGTACATCCTGGGCACCCAGTGTCATTTCCTGTCCTCTCAGGGTAGAATCCAGTGACACAGGGTTTGTATGAGGTCGGGGGAGCAGAAGGTCACAAGGGGCAGAAACACCCTGAATGGAGGATAGCAGGGGCTGGGGCTCCCGGCCAGCTAAAAGGCACTGTCTCCCATCTGTGGGGACTCCTGGAATAAGCAAAACCCAAGAGGGGACATTTTTAAGGATTGTCATTCCTCATATTTGGCTCATGGAGTACCTTTCCAAGAAGTTTGTATGACAAAGAAAAAATGATATTCAAAGGTGAGGTACAGCATAATGTGAACCACTCTGTTCCTGTCAGATGGGGCTTGGGGGATTAGGTCTCGTCTGTTTTTGTTTCATTCTAAAATGCAGGATGAGTCTGTGAAGCCTTGGGCAGGGCCATGGCCTATCTTGGGCTTTACCCTGATTCAGCCTCGCGTGTACCTTGGCCAGATTTCCAAAGTGTGTTCACCACATTCTTTTCTCCAAGTCCCCTGTTTCTAGAGGTCAGTAGCAGGTGAGCCACAGATCACAGCGGTGAGCACGCAATGCCCTCCCCACCAAAATTTCACTTTCTCTTCTGTCCACACCATGTGCACAGGTGCCATGGCTCCAATGAGGCAGCAGCCACGACCTTCAGGCTGGGGCTTTCTATGGGGAAACCCATAGCCAAGGGGTTCTGTTCTCACGTTAATGGCAGAGGAAGCCAGGACCAGTGAGCAGTGCCAAAAACCTCCCCCTTGAGGTCACCTGGAAGCCTCTTCCTCTGCTGTTTAACAGATATTTGCTGGGCATCTGCTCTGTGCCACACCATGGGGCACCGTATCCGGTTACTTTCCACCTTCCACTACACCACAGACTCTGGGCCTCCTGCTACTTGATGTTTCCTGACAGCCCTGCCCACTTGCAGGCTGGAATTTGGGTGTCCTGGTCTCTCACTTACTGAGAGGAAGAAACAAGGTCCCCATCATAGCTAACAAACTTCTGAGGACATGTTCTGCCCTCTCCCTCCCTCCACCTGGATCAGCCTGCAGCATATACCCCTGCAGGTGGTTCTGCTCAATGTCATGGCACATGATGCCACCCTGATCACTGTTTCCTTTTTTTTAATATGTATTTTTTAGTTGTAGTTGGACACAATACCTTTATTTTGTGTATTTGTTTTTATGTGGTGCTGAGGATTGAACCCAGGGCCTCGCACATGCTAGGCGAGTGCTCTAACCGCTGAGCCACACCCCAGCCCCTCCTTTTTCTTTATCCCTCTGAGGTGCTATTCATCTACAGTGATATCATATGACAACAATCCACATGATAGTGGTTCCACAACATTATAATGTGGTTGAGAAATTCCTGCCACCTGGCGACAACGTGGCAGTTGTAACATTATAGTACAATACCTTACTCAAATGTCTGTGATGCTGCTGGTGTAAGCAGTTGTCTGAAGTTTTGTTGTATGTGTACAAACCTGCAACTATGTGCAATGAATGATACTTGATGATGGTAATGGCTATGTTACTCTGCATGTACTTACAGTATTTTATCAGCATTTTAGAGTGAATTACTTCCACTTGTATACTTTCCTGTGAAGAGCATGTGTGTGACAGCAGCTGCCACTTCATACATCATGTGTTTACTGTGTCTTTTGATCATATCATTTGTCCTTATGAGGACTTAACCATCATTGCTTCACTCACTGTGGCCCTGGGAACAGTAGGCCATACCATGTGTGGACCACACAGTGCAGGCATGTAGTGGATGAGACCACCTGGTTAGTGTGAGTGTGTTCTATGGTGCTCACATGATGATGGAACTGCCTAAGGATGGCTCTCAGAACACATGGTGTTATTAAATGACACATGGTTGTACTTATTTTGTTTGCTACCTAACTTCCCATTGCTGGTCCCCACCAACTAGAATGTGATTTGTTCACTTCTAGAACTCCTAGCACCTGGAATAAGGTTGGCACACAGCAGGTACTCAGTAAATATTTATTAAATGGTGCAACAAACAAAAAAATTCAAAATAGAGTGAAAACTGTAGTGATAGGGGTATACGTGGGATCTAGAGTGACTCAGAAGAGGGTCCTGTGTGATGCACATCTGGGATGAGACAGAAGAATTCAGTCAAGTGACAGCAAGGGGCTTTAAAATAGGAACAGAAACAGAGTAGGCATCCATGATGAATAGATTGTCATTCTAGAATTAACTCTTTCCATTCTATTTAAAGACAGGAAGGCAGGAGAGACTTGGAAAAGGCAGGACTACTTGGTAGGCAGTCACAGAGGTGGCAGCCCAGGCCTCATTCCTGATCTGAGGCAGCCAGGCCAGCTGCAAGAGTCTGGCTTGGAGCTCAGGTCACTGGCACGAGAATCAGGAGTCAGAAGGGGATTCAGGTACCAAGCTGCACTGAGGCTGAACAGACAGTCCTAACTTAACAACGGTTCCAAAGAGGATGATGTGGGCTTTAGGATGATGTAAAAGAGATACACACATTCAATTTGGAGCTTGTCCTGGGCTGGTGAAATGTGGTAAGATTATTGCTGTCTCCATACTGGGCAGTGTCAGTGAGCCATAGCTCCCAGTCAGCCATGATCCTGAGAAAAGACAACCTTCACTCTGCAGTGTACTGTGTTGCTGAGCTGGGATATGTGGGAGGTTAGGGGTGTTCAATAAATTTCTGACTCAAAATGTTTTCATTTCATTGTTCTTTTGTCTTTTTATTTTAAAATTATTTGTTTATTCTAATTTGTTGTACATGACAGAAGGATGCATTTCAATTCATAGTACACATATAGAGCACAATTTTGCATGTCTCTGGTTGTACACAAAGTAGAGTCACACCATTCGTGTCTTCATACATGTACTTAGGATAACGATGTCCATCTCACTCCATCATCTTTCCTACCCTCTTATCCCTTCTCTTTCCCCCCTCCCCTTTGCTCTATCAAAAGTTCCTCCATTCCTCCCATGCTCTGCCCCCCCTCCATTACGGATTAGCATCCACATATAGAGAAAACATTCAGCCTTTGGATTTTTGGGATTGGTTTACTTCATTTAGCATGATATTCTCCAACTCCATCCATTTACTTGAAGATGTCATGGTTTTATTCTCTTTTAATGCTGAGTAATATTCCATTGTGTATATATACCAGTTTCTTTAGCCATTCATCTATTGAAGGGCATCTAGGTTGTTTTCCACATTCTTGTGCTGCTAAATCGGGGCCTAATCCAACTTAATGAAGACTTGGGCCTACTTTTTCTTATGTTAGGTGCAGAGTCTCTGGTCTAATTCATAGGTCCTTGATCCACTTTGAGTTTTGGGACCCTTGCTGCATCCAGGCCTGTCAAGGGATGTGGGTCCAGTGTTGGGATTGGCTGTGTACACACATAAAAAGTCACGGGGCTAGGGGAGAGCCAACAGAGGGACAAACGTGGGCTTATCTGGAGGACAGGTTAGACCAGGGGCCCCAAGAAATAGCCTCCCTTCCTTGAGGATCCAAATAGAACTTGGAATCCATTAACCAGGCACCCACATTCCAGCAACAGCCTCCTCATTTGGTGAAATATTTTGGATGTGAAATCGTGTTTTTTTGCTTCCCCTGTGGAGGCTGAGTCTTTAGAAGGCTATGCCACCAGAGCTCTCCCTATGGCTGCATGGCCCCTTCCCTAGGCCCCATACACTGGTCACCCTGAGAAAGGAACTTTTGGAAACGACTGCAATGTTGCTTCAGATTCTGCTCCCAGTCCCCCGATGGTGGTACTCCTCCAAGTGGCCCTCCTGCAAGTGGGAGGAGTAGCTTAAGGTCCACATCTGATAGCCCTGGTGAGGTACATCCAGGAGAGACCATCACTGTGAGTAGCCCACCACCTTGCTCCTCAGTATGGGGGAACAGGGACCTGAGGCAAGAGCAGGTGGTGGAAGACTGTGAACCTCGTGTCCTGTCATGTTCACCCCAGGGCAGGGCTAAAGGTGGGGAATAAAAGTGTCCAGGGTACATCCTGGGCACCCAGTGTCATTTCCTGTCCTCTCAGAGTAGAATCCTGTGACACAGTGTCTGTATGAGGTCTGGGGAGCAGAAGGTCACAGGGAAGAAACACCCTGAATGAAGGCCAGCAGGGGCTGGGGCTCCAGGCCAGCTACCAGGCACTGTCTTCCATTCTTTCCACAGTTTATCCTCCACAAGGGCTGGAGCTGCAGCTTCAGCTCCATTTCAACAGAGGATCCAGGGACAAGTACCACTCAGGGTAAGTGTGGGACAGGGGGGACTCTACTGGCAGGGGACAGAGCAGAATAAAAGTGAATAAGAGCAAAGACACCACCAGGACCACCTTCCTGGTAGGGATGGGAGATGGAGGGGCAGAGTCCCCACCATGAGGAATCTGAGCAACAAATCCTGGCCCATCCTCCCCACCCTCTCTGCCTGCTTCATTCTTGGACTCATCCAAGGTCACTGTTCCCATATTTGTGACAACAACAGAACAGCAACATGGACATTATTTCATTTTAATTCTCTGATGATTTGTACTCTGCCATCCAACTGACTATAACTTATACACCCAAGTGTCCCGGTGACAATGGCCTGACGGTCCTTCCACACACTCTCCAAGTCTTACACAGCATCAGGATTACTAGGGCTGCGTTTAGCTGAAACATAATGCCAATTGGTCATGCCAATTGGTCCATTTCTCTGGTACTTGGGTCTCAAGGAACACAGACTGTGAAAGCAGGAGCTGGGCCCCCAGGACCTCACCACCTTCCAGGGGGACCCAGGTTCCACAGCCATTCAGCCTTTCAGGGCTGTGGGACCTGGAGCTCATTCCCTCCTGGGGCCATTTCAACAGCACCACAGAGAATGATGTCCTGGGTGTCCTCACACAGGGACCCTCCTGTGTGGGATGAGCCTGTTTTCCCATCTTCAGAGAGTGATGTGCTGGTGGGACTCAGGGGATAAGCTCCCAATGCACAGAGCTGCCACCTCTGCTCAGCCAACACACTGGCCTGAAGCTGCTGTGTTTCTAACTATCCCCTCAGCAATTCCACTGTGAACTCTGCCAGCCATTGCTCTGCTGGGGCTCTCCTGTCCCTCTGTGGGACAAGCCCCTATGAGCTTTGGCTATTGCACTGGACTCCATCCCCAGACACTTCTGGTGGTCAGTTTGGCACTGACTCTGTTTCCTCAATGTCCCAACCAAGAAGGTGGCTACAGAGGGGATGATACTGGCACTGGATATGTGTTCCAGGCGTACTCCCTGGGGGACCTGGAGGACTCCCTGGAGCCCATCTTCTTCTATGACTCATCCTCTTCCGCCTCAACAGCTGTACCCAATGTTGGGAAGGTAAACCCTGCCCAGGGTGACAGGGTCACATACAGCTGTGAGTCCTGGAACTGGCCCTGGGCCTCTCTGAGCTTCAGCCCTCTCCTCTGAACTGTGCAGTGCCAAGATCACTGACCTCATGGTAGGAAAGGCCAGGCCTCTCATACTGCTGCCCCCATCCCTCCTCCCTCTCTCACTTGCATTTGCCTCACTACCCACTTGGAAATGTCCACAGCCAGGTCACTATCACAGGCCCCGAGGTGGAGGACCAAGGACACCAGGTCCCAGCCTTGACAGAAAACCTGGAGCCAATGGAGGAACAGGCCGAAGGTGATGAGAACTGAGGTGGGGTTATGAGTATGTCAGAATGGGACAGGGATGGACAAGCAGAGCATACTGCACAGGAACTGGGGCGGGGCAGGAACAACCAGAGGCAGAGCTGTCATTGTCTGTGTGCATTCTGGGAATACTGCCCGTTGTTGGGTTTGTGCGTGGAATTGTATGAAAGGCAGTAGGGAATATTCTGTCCCTGGACCTAACATGGATAGTCTGTGGACCTTTACTCCTCTAGCCGCTCTGGTGCTTGTGGAAGCTCCAGTTCGAGGTCCACCACCTCCACCATCTGATGGAGAATTGGAGCTGGACGAACCTGCAGTGGACAATCAAGGCCAACACCCCCTGCTGGCCCTTCAGTCAGCACTGCATCTAGAGAGGAACCCAGAGCCTCTGTTTATTCATCTTTATTGTATGTGTTTATTATTTTAGTATTATTTAAAATTAAAGATTCTTTTCATTGTTAAAAGACTCAGTCATCTGCCATCAAGTGCCTTCTCTAAACTGTGCACTAGTCACCACCATGTAGTTCCAGAACATTTTCTGGAATTTGGTATCCATGACCACTGCCTCCCCTTCCTTCCACTAGTC